ATTGATCAACATACTAAACCAGAACTTACTTAAATTGTTATCATCAAAACGTTAAATCTAACATTCTTTCCCTTTTTGATGATGATAAAACATAAGTGTAAGAATAATCAAATTTTATCAGATAAATACTTACCTTAAGACCAGAATTGAGCAAAAACACATGACAGATAGAAATATTTATCAATAACCATCAAACTGTCAAAGTTTAGTAGAAATGCATCACTGATAGCATTTAAGTACTATCATAATACAGACATAACAGAAAGCACAAGTAAATTAAAAAAATATCAGAATTTAAATTACAGAAAACAGAAAAACATAATACACAAAAAAATATAATAAAAAGCACAACTAAAATGCAGAAGGACTAAGCAGACTTCTTCTCCCCCTTTTTGTCGGCGTCAAAAGATGGGGAAGGAGAAGAGATAGTAGGCAAGGTAATGGGAATAGGGAGAGGGGGAAGTTGAGAAATTAGAGACAGGGTCTAAGAAATAGGTGGAAGAGGAAGAGAGGGATCAAGTTGAGGAACTGTGATAATGGCTAAGGTAGTCGGAGGAGCGAATGTGGAAGGGACAGAAGGGGAGGTAGAAGTAGGAGAGATAGAGACAGGTGAAGAAGGTGGTGCAGAATTAGGGTAAGGAGGAGAGGGTGGATGAGATAGGAGGTTTTTAAGGCTGAAGGAAGTACTAGGGGCCGAGAAGTTTGTACAGAGGGAGGCAACCATGCCCTTGAGCTCTTTGAGCTATTTCTCCACAAGATCAAATCTCAGGGATACCTCCTTTTGTGTGGAGGTCCAAGATAGTGTGTAATCCTTCAAATTTTCTATCCGAGATTTCCCCATAATCTTTTACAGTGGCATACACCCTTTTCTTAAACTCTTATAATTTAGCTTGGAACATATTCTGGATGGTGTTGCCATAAAATCAGGGATTAGAGGTTTAAGATGGTTCTATAGAAGACTCAGCCTCATCCTGGCCCTTTGAAGCACTAGTCACTGACTGTTTTCCTTTCTCTTTCCTTACCAGTTTTTGTAAAGGTCGAAAGGGTACTAGAATTCTCATTTTATTGTGCTAATTAATTCCAAATGTAGGAACCTTTACTTTGACTTCTCCAGGCTCAAATGGTGCAATGTTGTTTACTTGGAGAAAGTATGTGACCAGCTCAGGATAGGGAATGGGTGTGGATTTGGACTTTTTAAGAGTGAAATCCTTTATCTCACTATAGATCAAGGCTCTAATATTAATTTTATCTCCACTGATTATTTTGGCCAACAGGAGGTAGTCATCCTGGTTTAAGTGTGAAAAATTGCCAGACTTGTTCACCATGTTCCTCGAATAAATGTAGTGAATTATTCGGTAATAATCACACATTTGCTTCGGTGGAAAGTTTAGCTCTCCTGGGTAGTTATCACTCTTCATCAGAATTTTTTATGCCTTTATGTCATTCATGTCCCCTCCTCTGACATATTCTAGATTCCCCGAAGTTCATTTATCTTAGCAGAAGTAAGAGTAATGGTTCTGCCTCTGAGTTTTGTTGTGAGATAATTACTCCCCAAATTATCTTGTTCATCATACTCTTTAACAGATTCCATGTTGCAATAAAATCTTTTGACTACTTCAGGCAGTATTCGCCACCAATACTCAGCCAGTTAGAGTAGTGTTCAAGAGGGTTACTCAAATCAAATTTAATTTTCTCATTCTTTTTCAAAATATCTAGATTCACGGAGACCATAGGACAAAATTTTTGAGTTGCAAAATCAGCTTTAAACTTTATCACGCTTACCTCTTGATCTAGATTTCTAACCAAGAATTCAGATGGTGATTCGGATGGTATACCTTGGGCAGGAGACTGTTGAGATACACCTTCACTTGTTCTTTGTTTCTTTTACCGTGGTTGTCTAGGTATGGGAATGTTCAATGCTGAATCCACAACTTTTTGAACTGAGAATTCTTCATCAGATTCTGTCTTAGATTCTTCAGTTACTACTGGCAACTTGGATTTTGAGCATGGAGACCTCCTCTGTGGTGTAGGTTGTTCAATGCCCTCGACTTGGCTCTCTCTGATTTTAAGTACTCCCTTTTTCTTCAAAGGCTCTTGCCTCACTTTGGTTCTATATCTCTTTTTCGTGGTTGAAGGAGTAATCTCTTTGGATTGATACTTTTCAGTGTTCTCTTCTCGATCACTTCAAGTTTGTTTAACCCTCACCATTTTTTGCTACACAAAAGGATTTTGAGAGATTGATTGGTGAATTGAGTGTTTGAAGGGTTTGGTAGTGATCGAGAGGGCCTAAGGAGTGATTTTGAGTGAAGTGAAGTGAAGTGAGTCATTTAATGGAATAGTGAAATATTGACCGTTGAGAGAAAACATGGGAAGCATTTATCGAGCTAGGGTTCTGAAATTGACGGGGTTTTTCAAAATCTGAACGTTGTAAGTATAAGATTGATCGATCAAGTTATCAATCAATGCATGATTGATCATGTGTTCAATAATTAAGAAGAACATTCAAGAACACTGAAGGCAATTATCGATCAAGTTATCGAACAATGAATAATCAATCATGTTATCAATAAATGTTAAGTAAAAATGCGTACTTGGTTTGGTTTATCGATCATTTGATCGATTTGCAGTTTATCGATCAGCTTATTGATAATTGTTACCTATTTTAACTGGCTTGTCTAACATTCCTTATTAGTATTGATCGATGAGTTGTTCGATAATGGAGTGATCGATCAGGTTATCAATAATGCTCCTTCCATCTTTTCTGTTCCATACCATATGCCTTATTTATCGATCAGTTAATCGATAATTGAGGCCATATTCATAGCATAATTATCGATATCTTCATCGATCATTCCATACTCTGTTTACCTCTGTTTTTTGACGTCTAAACATAGTTCCCTACAAAACAATTTTCTACACACTCTGATGCTTAAGTTAGTCTTTAAATCATCAAGACTTTAAATCTAAATGCTTAAATTAAAGGAGTAATGTGAGATTTCTTACAACTTATTAGGGTTTACCATTCCCAATTCTCCTCTAAAGTAATTAAAGTTTTATTGATCAAGAGGCTCTGTGAATATGTCTGCTACCTGGTACTCACTGGGAATGAATTCTATTGTCACATCTTTCTTTTGAACATGGTCTTGAATGAAATGATGTCGAACATCAATATGCTTGGTTCGGGCATGATGAATTGGATTTTTGGACAAGCTTATGGTACTCGTGTTGTCACACAGGATGGTATCTCCTTCAAATTGATTCCCAAATCTCATAGTTGTTACTTTAACCATAGAATTTGGGCACAACAACTAGCGGTGGCAATATATTCTGTTTCTGTAGAGGATATTGCCACAATATTCTGCTTTTTGCTCGACCAGGAGACAAGGAATCCTCCTAGGAATTTACATTGTCCACTGGTACTCATTCTATCCGTCTTATAGCCTCCATGATTAGCATCTGAGTATCCCATTAGATATTCTGCTCCTTTCTTTGGATACCAGATTCCTAAGTTTGCATTTTGACAAGATATCTAAGGATTCTCTTGATGACTTCTTCATGTGATTTCTTAAGAGCTGATTGGTATCTTACACACATTCCTATATTGAATTGAATATTTGGTCTGCTTGCTGTGAGGTAGAGTATTGATCCAATCATTCCTCTATACTTGGTCAGATTCACGTCTTTCCCTTTTTCGTCTGCGTCTAGTGAGATGGTTCATCTCATAGGAGTCTTTACACTTTTTGCATTCTCTAAACCATATTTCTTTAGTAACTCCTTGAGATACTTTGTCTGGGATATGAATATACCATTTTTCTTCTGCTTGATTTGCAATCCCAGGGAGAAGTTTAATTCTCCCATCATTGACATTTCAAATTCACCCTGTATTAACTTAGCAAACTCTTGGCAAAGATTCTCATTAGTAGCTCTGAATATAATATCATCCACATAGATGAACAATTAACAGTTCCTTTCTACTTTTTTTAATAAAAAGTGTAGCATCCACTTTGCCTCTTTCAAAACCTTTTTCTATCAGGAAATTGCTAAGTTGTTCATACCAAGCTCTGGGTACTTGTTTTAAACCATATAGAGCCTTTTTCAGTTTGTAAACATGATTAGGGAGATTTGGATCTTCAAAACCAGGAGGTTGTTTGATAAAAACTTCTTTTAGAATATAACCATTTAAAAATGTACTTTTAACATCCATTTGATATAATTTAAAATCTTTTATGCAAGCAAAAGCTAAGAGTACTCGTATGGCTTCCAATCTAGTTATTGGAGCATATATTTCCTCATAATCAATACCTTCTTCCTGATTATAGCCCTTAGCTACCAATCTGGCTTTGTTGCTGACGATTTCTGCAGATTCATTGAGCTTGTTTCTGAATACCCATTTGGTGCCTATGACTGGATGGTCATTAGGTCTGGGTACTAATTCCCAAACTTGATTTCTCTTAAATTGGTTTAGCTCTTCCTGCATTGCTACTATCCAGAATTCATCGGATAAAGCCTCATCAACGTTGGTTGGTTCAATCTGTGAAATAAATACAGAAAAATGCACTTCATTAAACATGTGTCTCTAGGTTTTAACCCCTTCATTGACTTTACCAATGACTTGTTCCAGAGGATGGTTTCTATTATGCCTCCAAGCTTTAGGCTGTTTTAAATTTTCTTGAGAAGGGAATTCATTGAAATCATCCTTGTTTTCTAAACTTTCTTCTAGAATACTTTGTTAGAAGGTTTGTTTAAATTCAGTTTCTCAAAACTCGAACTATCTCAGTGTCATCATCTAGAGGTTTTGAAATTGACCCAGTTTCAGCAAACACGATATGTATTGACTCTTCAACAGTAAAGGTGCGTTTGTTGAAAACTCTATAGGCTTTACTACAGTTAGAGTAGCCAAGAAATAAACCTTCATCAGCTTTAGGGTCAAATTTACCAAGATTTTCTTTGTTGTTGTTATGAATATAGCACTTGCTTCTGAAAATCTTTAGATGAGCCAGGTTAGGCTTCCTTCCTTTGTACAGCTCATACGGAGTTTTCTCGAACAATGTTCTGATGTAAGCTCTGTTGGAAATATAGCAGGCCGTGCTTATCGCTTCAGCCCAGAACACTTGAGAAATCCCTTTTTCATTCAATATTGTTCTTGCCATTTCTATTAGCACTCTATTTTTTCTTTCCACAACTCTATACGGTTGAGGAGGTCTTGGTGCTGAGAAATTGTGGTCAATTCCATGCTCGTCACAGTAGTCCGTGAATTTGTTGTTCTCGAATTCTCCTCCATAATCAGTCCTGATTGACACAATAGAAATACCTTTCTCATTTTGGATCTTTTTGGCAAATATGATAAACGCACTAAATGTCTCATCTTTAGAGGAAAGAAACAGAGTCCAGGTAAATCTTGAATAGTTGTCAACTATCACAAGAATATATAAGTTTCCACCGAAACTTTTGACTCTAGACGGACCAACTAAATCTATGTGGAGCATTTGGAGTGGTCTTTTAGTTGAGACTGTCTTCTTTGATTTAAATAAGAACTTTGTTTGTTTACCCTTTTGATGAGCATCGCAAACAATATCATGTTCAAATTGAATTTTAGGCAAAACAATTACTAAGTCCCTTTTTGTTAATTTTGAAATTTGATTCATATTAACATAAGCACATTTATGCCAAAGCCAACTTTCCTCATTTTTGCTAACAAGACAATTTTCAGAAAGTTTTGAATCAATTTGAATAGTATAGCAGTTACTGTCCCTTAGAGCTCTCAGTTTTATGTTCAATTCTTCCTTTTTTAGTGGCAAGTCATCTTTGTTTATGACTAGGCATTCCTCTGAATCGAAGATCACCCAGTTGTTTTTGTTGATACTCTGACTGACACTGACCAGGTTGTGACATAGTCCTTCTACTTAGTAGACATCTTCCACCTTCGTCCCTTTGTCACTTCTTATTTCTCCAATTCCCGCAATTTTTCTGGGTTGATTTCTAGTAAAGCTCACTTTGCCTCCTTCTCTTGGTTTGAGTGAAGAGAATTTCTCAGTATCACTTGTCATGTGTTTGGAGCATCCATTGTTGATGTACCACTTGTTTGTCCTAGATGCTTTAAGACATACCTGCAACAGAACAATCATGTTTTAGGTACCCATACCTTCTTAGGTCCTTTTTGGTTAGTATGGTTTGTCCTGGATATATAAGTACCTTTGGGCACCCATTTTAATATCCCGTAAGTCCCTTTCTTCTTGTGATGACAAGAAAAGGTTGTATGACCTTTACAGTTGTAATAAGAACATAATGCAAAAGGATTAGAGGAATGAACAGCATTTCTAAAAAATGTAAGATACGAGCGACCACCACTTTTCTTCTTTCCTTTCGTCTTATCTTGAGTAGCATTATATCCCATTCCTATTTTATCCATCGAGCACTGTTGGCCTCCCAGAATTACTTTAAGCATTTCACTGACCCTAGTGAATTTTTCTAAGGTTTTTGTGAGCTCCTCGACTTTCTTTTTGTTTTGCTCACATTCTGTGCATACTGGAGGTATGGTGTCTGTTTACTTCACTTGCTGTTCCTCCAAAATTTTTATCTTTTTCTTAGTGCTTACCAACTCCTTTGCAATTCTTACTAATTCTAAATATAATACGTTGTATTCAGATTGTAATTTATCATAAGAGGGTTCAAAAGTGATTACCTCATCTATCTTTGAATCTTCATCTTCTTGGGCCACGAGACAGATGTTAGCTATCTCTTCAACATCGCTCTCTTCTTCTTCTGAAGAACTATCTCCCCAAATTGATGTCACAAGGGCCTTCTTCTTTCTGAACTTTTTTTTTCTTCTTCTCTTTATCCTTCATCTTGGACAGCTGAGGACACTCTGCTTTGATACGTCCTGGTTTTTTACACTCAAAGCAGATGATTGGATCCTTGGGCTCATTTTGAGAAATGGAGGCCTTGCATTTTGATTGAAACCTCCTTCCAGCTTTGTTTCTATAGAACTTTTTGAATCTTCTGACTATAAGACCCATTTTATCTTCCTCCAGATCTTCTTCGTCGTCATCTTCACTTTCTTGAGTTTTGAGAGAGATGCCCTTATGATTTTTCTTGTTCATCTCCTTCTTGTATTTCTGTTTTCTCTCATACTCTGCTAGGCTTTCGAATAGTGCTACAACAGAGCCAATTGATTGTCCCTTTGTTTCCTCAATGACTGTTACTTTCAGCTCCCATTTCTTCGTGAGGCTGCTTAAGATTTTCCTTACTTGATCTTCTTGACTGTACTTCTTGCCAAGTGCAGTGAGGTGATTGATGAGGTGTGAGAATCTAACTTCCATGTCTCGAATGCTTTCTCTATCCTTCATTCTAAACAATTCGAACTCTGTGGTGAGAGTGTTGATTTTGCTCTGTTTCACATCGGTTCTTCCTTCATGGGCTGTAGCATCCTTATTTTTATCTAGTATTTAATTAAATTTATAAATAAATATATTTTAGTATTAAGTAAAAAAAAAAAGAAGTTAGATATAGACAAATTATTATTATTATTATTTTAATAATGTTTTTGTATGTGATTGTGTGTATGTGTGGATGATATTCTAGAAAATTAAACCATGGTATAGAAGTCTCACATCGACTAATTTTTAGAGTGAAGGAGTTTGAGAAGCCTATATATAGGAGCTAGTGAGTGGAGCTTGGAGTAAGTAAATAATTTTCGCACATATCTGAGGTAGTCTCAGAAAAGTGCTAGTTTTGATTTTATTAACCGTTGGATCGGACTGAAATTTGGTCAGTCCATTTGGGACATCCAAATCGTTAATTTCAACGGTTGGATCACCCTTTTGATCTCCGAGTTACAAGTTATTAGGTACGTTTTTAACTTATATCTTTTGGATTTAGCAGATAGAGTCCTGAATAGTAAATTAGCATTTTAAAGTTTATTCACCGTTAGATTGAGCTATAATTTGGAGGATAGTATCATGATGGATAGGAAATTAAATTCAACGGTTAGATTATAGGTTTAACTTCTGTAGTGAGAATAACTTGGTTCGTACTAAGTCTATTTGTCTAAGTCTTTCGAAGATGGAATATAAGTTATAAATTTATAGTTTGTCTATTTCCATTATGAATTTGATGATTCTAATAAAATAATCTAATAATTAAAGGATATTTAAGTAAGGAAATTTAGGAATTGAGTCTAAATCACATATATATATGTTCTCATTCCAAACCTTAGAGAAATGTCTTTTAGGCTAGAGTTCTGAGTAAAATTTAAGCTTTTAGAGAAGGAGTTAGAGGCTAGAATTTTGTGAGTAGCCTACTCTAATACTATAGAGATAATATTTTAATTTTTTTTGTAGATATAAAATCTATTGTGGCATTTTCGAGGTTGGACTCTGGTTGTAGTTGACTGATAGTTAGGAGACCAGGTAACTAAATTTCTATCTGTTGCATGCTCTAGTATGAAGTTAGTGAGCGACTTTAGAACTAATTCTATAAAAGTATATTATGTTTTGTATGAACTGTCTTGTGGGATGCTATTTTAAAAAGGATTGACATAGTTTGTATTGCAAGAAATTGGTGATCATGATTATGATGTGTTATTATGAAATCCTGTTGATTATGCATATAAATGTGTCATTTTGAACCCTGTGCATCTATTTTGAGTGGGGAAAGGAGGTAATTGGAGTTATTGAGATTCATATACTTGCCACATGGTATTAGCCTCCATACGGAGCTCTATGGTTGGCTGTTATTATTGTCCTACTAGTTCTTCGAGGGACTGCGACACCCCACTAGTTCTTCGAGGGGGGATCCATGGTCCACCGAGTGCTCTGTGGTCTTTGGCCGGTCCACATCATTCGTGTGGTGAGCTTGTCAGAGTTGCCAGTCAAATGGAAAGAACTTAGCCCATGGGTCCAGTCGGCGGAAATAAGGAGGATATAAGGATGGATTTGGGTTCAGGAATTGCATATGACATGAGATATTCATTGATATTTACATCTTTTAAATAAATGACAAGTATGTTATCTCTTTTGAAATGTATCCATTGCATGAGACTGATGGAAATATTTGTCTTGTATGATTATTGTGAGTTTAAATGTTAAATAAATGTTTATCAACTATTATTAACTCTGTGTATCCCACCTGACACCTCGCTAGCCCATGCTAGGGTGTGAGATAGGTAGGGATTTAGTTACTAAGACGTTGTCTCACTCCTGTTGCTTTACCATTTTCAGGAAACAATACGTTAGCGGGACCTTCGGGGAAGACTCCTGAGGCTCAATAGCTGTAGCTAACAGTGTAGAGCTTCTGGACCTTATTTTATGTAATCTTTTCGTATATTGCCACGTATCAGGACTACATTCATTTGGAACTTATTTTACCTCCTTATATTTTCATGTCGTTTGACTTAGTGGACGTATTATACTTTCTACCTTTGGTTTATTTTGTCTGGACATTGGACTAGAGTGCTGGTAGTGGGCCTGAGGCCCTTAGATTGCATGTGATTGAATTACTGTGGATCCACGATGTGATAATGACAATTTTGGCAAGTTTAGTTGTTGCTAGTGTTGACTAAAATAGTCAAGTCTAAACTGCTATTATAATTTATCATTCAAAGGTGTATTGTTTTATAACCATGTTTGCCATGATTACAAATATAGGTTATTCTTTTTCTAACCATGATAGTCTTAATTAAGGTCGAATGTTTTTCTATCATGGTTAGCCCTTTAATGATGTGATTGCTCTTAAATAACCATGATAGGGTATGTTTACTAGTTTTAATCTTTTCTATCATGGTTAGTTCTGTTTAGTAAGTGGTGATGTTACATGGGCAATCTCCAGTGCCTCCCACATTTCCTTTGCAGTTTCCAAACTAGAAACTCAGAAATATTCTTTTTGACTTAAGGCAAAGGTTAGTATGTTGATAGCTTTATCGTTCAATGTCACCAGCCTCTTATCTTCTTCATCAAACTCCCTGGGACCCTTACGAACTTGTTGACCGTGTACCATTTTCATTGGAATATAGTTGCCATGC